CCTACCCTAGCCTGAACAACCAAAGAAGATGAGGACTTTAAAGTCAAAATTAAACTGCATTAATGCTTGGCTGCAATGAAACCAGCTGCCCAACTATTTTGAGGAGTTTCAAAACTACTGTTGGAGAAAAGAAGCACGAAATAAAAATGCATTGAAGTTTGAAGACCCCGTTCCTTTAAAGATACAGAGCATCTATTTGGGAGTCTGTCATTAGAGCACGGGCAGATTAAATAGATGCACTAAGCCTCTACTAATAGTATCAAAAGTTAGAATCTGTAGTAGAAGTTAAGCATACACAAAAGCATCATGTTCAGAATAAAAAGATGTGTATTAAGATTGTTCGACTAATAGACAAGCTATTTGAAACCCTGACACACTCTGCCAAAATGCTGCTCTTTCTATCTGAACACAAGCTGTATATTAAACAGTCCATTTTGCTTTGAAGTATACTTTGCTTTCACCTCTCTTTCTCAGAAGACTGGAGTTAACCCACCAAATATAAAAACCTTAGACATTTTTTCTTTTAAAGTCAGACTTTCCTGCTCTGACCTGAACATGCAAGTCAGCATTCGTGGCAAATGTTCGTTCCTAACACTCCCAATACTTGTCTAGCTTTTGAACCACACAAAACAGGTATATTCTCATACTTCCGGCATGGCAACTGACTCGTCTGCTGCCAAAACAGACTCTTCATTGTCCTAACATCACATGCACACTCTACAAAGATGTCTAGCAGCCACAGGACCTTTCCGCATCCAGCAAAAGCTCATCAGTGTAGTGTACAGTACAAGTCAGACGACCAAAGACTTTTGCCTGGAAGACTAGTGAAACGTGTTCATTTAACTGAGTATAAAATATAAAAAGAATTTGATGCTTAGGAGTACCCCAGACAAACCGACACTAGTCAGATCTGGAAAGTCACATTTAAAAAATGGTAAATCAGCAAAGGAAAAATTTCTTTAAAATACCCTAAAATGAAACTAGAAGGAGATAAAGGTCTATTTAAACTAGTTGTACATCTTTGAACGTGATCTGGAAGTAAGAAAACAGAAAACAAAAAGTTGGCAGGCATTTAAAGTAGAAATAACAGTGATGCTAAGTGAATTAATCAGATGAAGGCTACCAAACAAACTAGCAAGTCTGTATATTGCAACTTCAACAAAAGAAAGTGGGTGAAATCAACACTAATGAAGTTTCCATTTGATGGACTGGATTTTTAAAAGCTTGGGAAGACAGAGATAGAAAGAAACCATGAGGAACTTCAAAAGCAGTTAAAGTAGGCTGCAGACCAAATCTTCAAATTGAGAAATGTACTTCCCTAACAGAACATTTATCTGATACTCACTAGACATGCATTTTACAGAGGTCTCACAGTCCAATCTATTCTAATCTCCAAATCACAGGTTTCAAACAACATAGATAACTAGCAAAAGAGCTTAAAAGTCAGTACTGAATTCAGACATGTCATATGGAAAAATAGGAATCCACGAAAGCACCATTGCTGGTTTCTACGAAAACATTAGACTGACTGTAGAGAACCAAAACATTCTAGTGCCTTTTCCCCCACTCTAATAAATGTAAAGAAAATCACATTTAACCTAGTCTTAGTGGTAAATCAGAGTAGCATACAAAGTTTAACATATTTGAGAGTATCTCACAATGAAAAAAGTACCTGGTAAGAAAGTACAAGATACACCACGTCTTGAAGTTCAAGGCAAGCAGGACCAGACTATGCTATACTCTGGAAACTGTTGAAAGAATAGATGCGGCTGTTATTCATGCTAGTTTCTTCTTAAGATCATAATGATCTTGACACTGAGGCACATTGGAAAGTTTACAAGTTTCAATTTGCATGTTTGCAGTTCCCGGAGATGTAAGTTGAAGCAGCAAGAGTCAAGTGTTTTTGAGACAAGTTGCTCCTATTATTTACACAGGCTTAGAAAGTCGGGAGGGAATACATGCTCTAGTATAACTGCAGGACTTAAGTTTCAAATAGATATTCTCACTCAAAAATCCAGAGTAAAGGAGAAACATCAAAAGTCATTATGTATTTGTATTACATTAACTGCTAGAATTTTGTACTGAAGACACAGAGGTATGAGCAACATAAATTACTAAATACAAGAAAAAGTCAGTTATTCAAACAAGAGCGAGAAGATACCAACCTGTTTAATCAAAATATTTTCTATCAGGTAATAGAGCAGAAAGATACGGCTTGATCAAGTTATTTTTAAGAAAATGAGTCCTACTTATGACAATCTCCAAAACAAAAAGATTCATGACAGTTCATTCATACTTTGGATCAAACAGTCCACTAGAAAGGAGGGGAAAAAAGGTTCCTATTGGTCAGTTTTGATGATGGTGCATTCTGCAACTCTACAAAAACTAGTTCTGTGTATATTTTAATGCATCCTAGACCAAGTCAATCTTTAAAGACTTACTACTGATCTGAAAATGAATATCTGAGATGAGGTTCTTAAAGTGTTCTTTATTAATATCATTAGAAGTTGCAGAAACAACTTTCTTGTAATATAAAGGCACAGGGAGACAGTTTTGATAAAATATTCCAATCAAACAGTAACTTACAGTACAAAAGGACAATTGTAATGCACATACAAACCCCAAACATCTCATTCAAAAAATATTTCACCGTGTTCATCAATAATAATGGTCAATGACTAAAAATATAAATTGTTACTGTACAATAAGCATCTGATAGGTGCAAATGGAACAAGATTTATTGCTCTCCACAATGTTTTCCCTGTAGTGTTTTTATTTTTTTTTAAAGTTCCAAATTCCTTTTATTATCGGCTTTAGTGATTTATTTCTGAGGGAACTAAACCCCAAACCAAATCTGACAGGGCACTCTGACAGTTACAGAACTGCCTTGAGTAGTAACCAGAACTGGCAGTATATGTTTCTTTTACAACTTTAACAACCATACTCCACTCACTCGTTGGGAAACGTGGTAGATGTTTTTAAAAAATCAACTTTAGTGATAAATCAAGGCTTTTATGGTAGGATAGCATTACCTAGTCTGAAGGTTAGTCCATTTTTTCAAATAAGTGGATTTTACAATGAAAAATAACATGAACATTCTCTGACAGCTTGTGCCACAGTAAGCACGTAAAACCATTTTCAAATGAGGGGAGAAATTAAAATTAAAAGCTGCATTGGACATTCTAACTTCAGAAAACGAGACAAGGGATTGGGAGCAAATTAGGACTATGTAGGCAAAGTTGATTTAAAGTGAGAATTTTTAATTCTAAAATACCCCTAACGTAGTCATCTAAAATCAAAAAGCACTTTGCATCTTTATATGACTCCACTTTTTGAGCTTTGAGAAAGAAGGTCCAGTCAGTGAGTCTGCCATTTTCCTCACCTTGCTCTTGCAGCAATTTGATAAAGCAACATTTCCATCTGTCTTTTGATGCAGTATGAGAGGCATATTAACTTCGCCCTTGAAAGCCGCACGTTACCTTGCTCAGAACTCTTTTTAGCTTGTATGAAATACTGGTTTATACACACATTTAAGAAATACTAGTTTCCTTCATTACTGTTACAAGAATTAATAGCATACATTTCCTAAGAGCATCTTTTTATGATTAAGACTTCAGGAAAATGAAGCATTATAGTAGTTGGGGAAAAAAAAAAAAAAAAAAGGGCAAGCTTTGAATAGAGTTCTTGTAGCAGTAACTGAGGTTTTTATAAAAACTGTAATTCATGAGAACAACTCCAGGCTTACACAAACCTCAACAAGCCAATTTTAACTGCACTGGGAATAGCCAAACTTACTTCAAGAAAAGGTGTCTAGAATCAATCTTAAATCAGTTTAGCTGGTAAATCAAAAGATGAATATTCTGTAAACTCCATTACACTTGAGTTCAACAGAATTGGAAATGATGTAAAACAAACTGCTAACTTTCTGGACGTTATTATTCAAATTAGGGTCATCTTCTAGCACAAGGACATAGTTCTAGAAGTTCTTCAAAAAGTAACCAAGGACCACTGAAATTTGAATTCTGAGAATTATTAGCTTTACTACAGTATAGCATTTTTTCTCTACTATTTGTTTAGAAACTAATAAACAAAACCATTTTCTTTGGTTTATGCTTAACTACACTGGACTAGTGAATTTTTATTTTTAGTCAAGCTTCTATCCCCAATTTAAATTAATACAGATCTTTTTATTGTAGTCTGTCTCCAATTCTCAAATTATCTCTGTTAAAAACAAGAGTTTGCTCATACCATGATCTACTGCTAAACAGTCATGTGTATATACTGGCATGAAGGGTAAAAGTTTTGTACAATAACAACATTAAGTGGTATTTCCAATGGCAGAACCACAAAAACCATCAAATGATTGTTAGTTCAAATGACATTTGAGTTTATGATGATCTTAAAAAAATACACAATGTCTAAGAACAATATACAGTGTAAAACCCCCTAAAATTAGACAGCAAACAAGGGAATCCTGCACTCACAGTAGGAATGTACTGCACAGCATTAACATGAAAGCCTGTTAAATTTGAAACAGTGGAGACAGCTAGATTTACCTGGATGTAAATGCCACTTCAAGGTGTTTAAACAAACACAAAAATGAGACAATGATGTCAGGAAAAAGGCCTTTAAAACAGGCCATCAGTCTAACTTGACTTTCCAAGTAAGAACATCAGCTTCACAAAACCGTGACACTAATGCAGTTTTATGTGAAGTACCCTTTGACACACAAGCTGTCAATTAAGCTATCACAGTCTTTTTTTGACCAACTCCCTATTAAATAGTTAGGGAGAAGAGTCAATAGTAGCTCAAGTTTTAATTCAGTAAGTACCTTATAATGTTCCTTTGCAAACAGAAAACACCATAAAATTATATTTTTATGGTATTTAGAAAAGTGATATACTAGTTAGTTTGTTTTTTCTCTTTTTAATATATAAGTTCAAAACTTCATTTTTCTATGTGTCTTTGCAATAGTGTTTTAGCCAGTGTCGCAAAAAAATTTTCACTGTGGACTACCTCACATTGTTACTCAATTGTGCAAGGTATTCACGCAGTTCTTTTGCCGCTTGGAATCTACCATATCGCTTCTTTGGGTTGGCACACTCGTCCAGCAAGGCCTCAAGTCGGCCATCTTTGGCAATTTCAGCTGGGGGGTCATGAAGTAGTCCTCCAGAAGTGCCACGCCACGTGGCATGTCTTGATAAAAGGTTCTGACAAATAGCATAATAATTGTGGTCCACAGTGACACGAGCACAAAGAATCTCTTTTGAGAAGGACAGACAAGCTTCTTTATCACAGTCATCAAATTTGCTTTCATACCATACATCCCAGTTTTCAGGTTTATCTGTGAAATACAAGGAGACAGTAAAAAAAACAAGTGAGAGAGGGGAGGAGGGCACATGTGTGTCTGAACACAATCAGAAGTTCAATAAACAGCAAACGGGTCATATTTAAACTATAAGTGAACTTTGTTTAGATGGACTCTTAAATATTCTACTCTAAGCTTGCATCTGACATACCCTTCTCCTGAAATGGTCCTGGCAATATAAAAAAAATAAGAGAAAGAAAGAAAGAGGGTGAAATAGATAGCAAAGCAAGGGAAGCAGAAAAAAACCCAGCACATTAAACACAGGAAATCTACATTCACACACATACCCAGAGGAAAAAATGTAGCACAAACAAGAATGATCCACAGCTGAAGTTGAGAGAAAAACAAACAAGTAACATGATTTACTTCACCGCACAGATTTGGTTTCTCCAGTTGCCCTGGAAACTAACACTGGCAAGCAGTCTACCAAAGAACAAAAAAAAAAAAAAACCAAACCATTGCAAAGCAATTGCCATAAACTTCTGAAACATTACCTTCCAACCTCTTACTTCAGACACGGCGGTAAGTAAGAAATGCGTGTAAAAACAGACGCATTACATACAATCTTTGAAGAAAAAATTCAACAATACAAATAGCATTTGTGTACATGTATAAACCCTTCTTCATACATATTATAAAAGTTATCAAAATTTGAAGGTGTAACTAGTGGCCTTGTCACAAAGCTTTCTTTAACTTAAAACCTGATTTACATAAAATATCTTACACAATAATAATACATAAAAGGTTACTAAGTGTGAGATCTCCTGAGTTCTTACTACTTTTTGTTAGAAAACTTGTATCTTAAGCTTCTAAATTACTGCCAGCTTTGAGAAGAGGTCTTATCATGAAGTCTCATAGTTTTGCAGATCTCTGTCAGCACTGTGAAGTACAAAGAAAAATTTAGTCTCTGAGCTGACGATTGGTCTACTTATTTATGGTGCCCTGCAAGCCAGTCTAGGAAAAAAAAAAAAAAAAAGGCATACTGAAGGATGACTGCTAAAACTATAAAGATACGATACAGGGTTTGTACAATGAACAGCAAACACTGAATAGAAAAAAAGCCAGCAACAAAGAAGAATGGGAAAAATGGACTTCTGCAAACTCAAATACGGTATCCTACACAGAGTACAATTAGATACTACTGTACAGTGCAATTGACAGCATGTACGTATTCAACTATCTGAACAGGCATATTAATCACTAGACAGAGATTGTTTAATTAAACTTTCCAGAAGATTAATGAAATCAGTATAAAATGTCTGGTTTATGCAAAGACAGAGAACTTTGTGTCCTCATTTGTTTTCTGTGTTCTTGATTAATTGTTAGACTACACATCCTGCAGCAAAATCCTAGTTAGATCCAAATTAGTCTGAGAACTACAGACAACAGATGTAAGAGTGACACTTTCCACATTCAGCTTCTGCAAGAAGCTACTTGCTCCTATTCCATGTACACATCAACTTTTTCAGAGTTCATTTGGTCATCTTTGTGACTTAGCAATTCAGACACGTTCCAAAAGTCAAAGTCTTAAGTAACATTATTTTAAAAGGGTGGAAAAAGAAAAAAAGAAAAAAGAAAAGAAAAAAGTAAGTTTATTTGTGTGGCCCATAAGTATTAAAGTAAATGTACTGGATATCTAATACATTAAAATGTTTACTTGGTAGGCTCAGATAGTTTTAATCTAAGCTCCTTGAGAATACATAATACATAAAAAAAAGCCAACCAAAACCAAAGCACAAAACCCCCATACCATCAGAAAAACCAAACAAAACAAAACACGAATGCATACTTCCTTTTAGACAAGTATGTGGATAGAAAACAGTCTTAAAGTTAATTCAGCAGCACAGCATATGAAGTATATTTGCAAAGCTTAAAAAAAAAAAATCCATTCACCCAAAGCAAACTGGAATCACTTGGCCTACTGCCATGAATTTCTGCAGAATCTAGGGCTTCATGTTCAGTGTCTCTAGCCCTTAGGTCTGTAAAGTTTTCCTTATAAGCTCAAAAGGAATATAAACCCATGTAATGCCACTTTGTTAAACATTTCTCCTGCTGCCACTGCTTTCAGCTTTTACAGTTGACAAAGATGAAGGAATTTTCACTATTCCCATTTGGAAACAGCACTAAAATTACCCATTCCTTCAGTTCCGTTATTACAGAGCATCAACCCGAACAACTGAAGCAGAGGCAGGCTACGTAACAAGGTAAAGCGGGCAGGACGGCTGTCTTGTCATTCACAGAAAATAGAATGCCAAGACTTCTGTCCTTACTGACATCTGGAAGAGATGAAAGGAACCTCTCTTTTAGCTAAGGTAGACAAGTCAGCCAGCCAGCCCATCTGTCAATCTGTCCATCCGTCTGTACAAACCCGTCCAATGTCCAAACCCTCTCCTCCCACCCCCACCTCTCAATTTAAGCAGGATTATAGACGTTAAAAGTATATGTAAATCAAGTTCAGGTAAGCTCAACACTTTGTAAAATTGACAAATTGGTCAAGTTAATTAGTAGTCTAGTTATAAAGCCAACAAAATGGGTATTTAGAAACTACACATACTTTAAATATTGTGCTTGCAGAAAAAGAAGCAAGAGACATGGGCTGAGGGGAGAGGAGAGAAAGACAACACTTACTCTGTCTGATTAACCTTTTGTCTGCTACCAGAACGTTTTCTGCATCTACAATGATAACTTTCCCATCTCTCGGTCCAACCGCAAAGTTGTCAAAGCTGACATCAAGGAGGTAGAGTGCAAATTCAAAGTCATTATTTGTCAGCTGCTCAGCTATTTCCATTAATTGCCAGGCCAGATCCACTCGTTTCTCCCATGGTGCATTAAAGTAACTCCACAGCTCTTCTCCAACGTAATTGACAGCCACCATTCTTCCGCATGCTCCTAAGTACTTTGCGAATGGCCAACCCTCGTCAGATGGAAAACTCTGTACACAAAAAGATTTTTTTTTAAATTTTCATTAATACAAAGCAGCTCAGATTTTAGAAGGCTGTTCAGTAAAAGTTTAGAAGAGACACCCGCAAATACCCATCGACAATGCATTTTCATATACTTCTAAGTTTTGAAGGGCAAGAAAAAACAACACAAAATACATTTATGTGAGCAAGAAGCCCTGCTGGACCTCTAAAGAGAAAGAGTTAGAGGACCTGAAATCATATACAAACCGTATCTAGCTTTCCATATATTATATATATGTATGTCTATATTCACATACACATGCACAATTCCACCAACTATCTTTTACTATTGGTGTTTTATACACATCTGTTGAACTAATGCAAGTATACTTCCCACCAAGGTAATTCTGCAACTGGTATTTTTAATGAAAACCAATTCTTCTAATAACCTAAAATAAAAAGCTTTAAAAAGTGACACTGACTTCCCTCCAACACCCTCCCTCTTCCTGTTTTTCCTAGCTGACTGGATTCCTTTGAGGATCCTCTTACTTAAGGATCACAGAACAGATTAAGGTATAAAAGAAAGCTTGGGGTTTCTTAGGCCTCTAGTACTCCTTAACAATCTACCTCTTGATTAATTGCTACATATATACTCTGTGTGTTTATTACACACAGCCACATAATGTATTTATCAAAAGTAAAATCTGTCTCAAATAGTAGCTTTTTGGAAGTTAACATAAGAGACTGAATAGTAGTAACATACTACAATTAAAAAAACAAAACAAAAAAACAAACAACAAAACACACACCAGTGTGTTTTTCCTACTTCAGTTGTACTGAATGTGCCCCAAGACTTCAATATGAACAGACAAGCATTTAAAAGGTATCCTCCATACTATGCACCAGTAAGAAACCATAAAACTATTAAATTAAGAAGCCTCAAATGCATAAAGTTAGCACTCCCAGAATATAACAGACACTAATTTGAACAATTAGGAGTTACCACTATGTGCACATGCTCCGTTCTCATGCACTATCTTGCTATCCTGTCACCAGAAGCAACTCATTATCAGTTCTGCAATGATGATGTAGCAAAGGTTTAGGTGTTACCACACTTGGGTTGAACAGCATGGTGGGTTTCAGTCTGGATGGAAACTTTATACCTCCTGGAATCCATGATGGCAGAAAACATTAACAGCAAATTGAGAAAAGAGACACTGGATGGAAATACATTATGTAGAGCAGACCAGAACTAGAAGACCAGTCAGGGAGGAGGTGCACAGCACTCATCCATCTGTGTATGTACCCCACTTAAAAACAATTAGAAAAGTTAGAGTGCTTACATACCCAATCACAATAGCCTTAGAACCCATACCTCCTCCTACAACAATCCTTAATTTTACCTATGTCTGTGCTTCCTTTGATAACAAAGTTTTGATCTTAAGCTGAAGGTTTTATCTTAACCACTAGGCATCAGCTGATGCTAAGCCAAGGTTAGAATGTTAGCCAAAAACACTAGCAGCTCCGTAATACACAAGGAACTGCAAGTCACATCTACTCCCTAAAATTAATACTTATTCTTGAAATGCAAACAGCAAAGTTAAAGCCATATTCAATTCACACACTAAGAGTTCAAATTTAGCATTAAAGCGCCCTGAAAAAAACAAAATAGAATTGCTTAGATCACAATAGTCTAAATCACCAATATGCACTCCAATCTTTACTCACAAAACTTCCTTGCATATTTCATTAGTCATTTTCTATGTAAGCATGCTCCCATGGCAGAAACAGTGTCATTAAAGAGACTACTAACTGGCCTCTGACCCAAAAGGTCACTAGATCAATGAACCCTCTAGCAACACCCAAGAGGAAAATTCTTACAGTTTTCTCCACCTTTTAAAAGATGCTGCTCTTAAACACACAGGAAGAAAAAGGAAACAGGAACACTTGCTCAGCACTGCAACAATAGTTTCTCTTGGTTATATTGAGTTTTCAGGATTTCACAACAGCTGCAGGTTTCAGGAGGTAAAAAACAAAATCCTGCGGAGCGATTGTCTCCACCTACTAAGTTATTTCACTGCAAAACTGGAATCTTAGTTATATAATTTTTAGGTACAAACACTACTGATGAAAAGGTTTACTAAAGCACATCAAAGCCACTGGGAAACACAATTCATAGGCAGCTACAATTCCTTTCTTACCCATTCCAACTCATTATCTGAAGAAGTACAAAACTATACAGAGGTGACTAGGAAAAAGGAACAGTTATTATTGAGAGTCCCAGCTACACTTCCTCTCCCGCAAAAAAAAAAAAAAAAAAAAAAAAATTCAAAAAGGTAAAGAAAAGGTTTGGGTATTTTTTTCCATTTCTATGCCACTGATACCGGAGAACATCACTCTAACACTCCATATGGCTCTCACTTTGGAGAGTCTCCAGCCCAGCAAACCAGTTCACCTACCTACAGCATGCTCATTTCCATCCTGCTTCTCAAGGCCTTTCAGACAGAGAGAAGATTCAGGATTGAAGTTTCTGCTCTGGAAACATGCCAACTTCTATGCTACATGACTCAGAGCCCTTCCTTGCTTTCATAATGCCACGTAAAGATTGTTTATATATCTTATTCCAAATATATACCTGTCCAATAAGAAGGAATCGATGTTCTTGTGGTCATATGGCAGGGAAGAACATGGAGGGCTTAATCCTCCACACTAAGAGCAGCCTTTACTAAATTTTTATGTTGATAAAGTACAGAAAAGCCTAATGCAAGTATTATTACCAAAACTGTTAAATACTTAACAGAAGGTAGCATCAGAGTCTATAAGATTACCATTTTAAGATTTCCATTCTGCATACAAGCCTTACGATGCTAGGACACACCGTTTAATGTGATCTAGTTACTCTCATCAAGAAGATGAGCTTTCTAGTTTGCACAAATGAAAAATTCCCACTTTCACATTTAAGTAGCTTTTGTGAAAAGGGCACGTCTTAACTGTCATTAAAACACTTTTTGTTTGATATAATTAAAGCATTTTATTAAATGTTGTGGAGCCCCTGATTGAGCCCATATCTAAAATGAAGGCCGAGTACCTAAAATGAAGGTTAACTCACGCCTAGCTTCCAGCAGTCCTTACTTGGAACACTTCAGAACACTGCAATTTGTTCCTCTAGTTTTAATTTTTTTTAATATCTTAAATATAATTTTGAGACAGTATAAATACCCATTTGTTTATGTGTTAACACTATTTGATAATTGGATCCTACTGAAGGCTGAGCATCCATCCTAGACTGTTCTGGCTCAAGATGTCCTCTACGGAATTTTCAAGGACTCTTCAAAGATTCTACACAGCAAATCTTCTGTATATACTACACGTGAAGAAATTAAAATCATAATCAATATATATTGTTGACATAATTCGCCATCTTTTTGGCAAAAGTCATTAAGCTAACCTCTTAACACGGCAAGCGTAGAAGACAATTTTAGGGGAAATAACTATGTTTACCATTGCAAAGAACAACTTTCTTAGATGCTCAAAAGGACATCAGACCCATAATTAATAACAGAACAGGTTCAATGTTTTTGGGGTGCCTAAGTGCCTGGACTTCTACTTTATTCTGATCACTTGACCTACCCACACAGGCGAATCTGCTCATGAAAAATCCTGAGGATGATACAGAACTAATTTGATTGTTTTTCTGACCAGCATGATATTTTCAAGCTGTGAAACCACATACTTGAGCAGAACTAAGTCACTCTAACTGAATCTGCTATGCAATGCTGACATTATCCAGTCTCCATTTTTTTTTTCATCTGTGGACTTCAGGCGGTACGTATGGGCATGGTGGCATGTATGGGCAAATATCCACCATTCCAGGCAAGTCAAGTGATACATTCCACAGTTAAGAAGTTGGCTGAGGGTTTTTTTGCTTGTTTTGTGGTTAGCAAAATAACCTTCCAACAAACTAAGTGTGTGCTAATTCAGTGTTCCTTACTTTACAAACAGATCAGTATAATGAAAAACTCATGTCTGTGGCATCAATAAACACTACCAAAATGAGATTTCATGCACATTTATTATTACCGTATTCGGTCCTGGATCAAAACAAACCAATAAGAAAATGGTTGTCATCCATCAAATGCAATCAGTTATTTACAAAGGAACACGTCATTTCACTCAAAAAGAAGCAAGCAGGAATTGGTGCTAAGGCATAACCTCCAGAGAACTCTAGGCAAGCAAAAATTGCTGCATTTTATCACCACTTAATGCAATATATTCAATTCAATTGCCACAGTAATGATGCCTACGTATTTTTATTGAAGTATGACTTTGGCCCAACCAGCTCCTTTTCTTTTCCACCCCCCTCCATTCCTATATTCCAGTCCTGCTTTGCTTATGCCTTTGCCTCCCTTCTCAAATACAAATTCAACCACGTTGAACCTGGCAAAGGCCATGCTACCATTGGAAGCAAAGGCGTCCAGCCCTTCCAACCCATCAAGCCTACTCACTTCAATCCCCTCCATGTCCTTAGGAAAGCAATGCAGCTGGTACTTCCTGGGCTGGTGTTCAGTTGGATCAGTAGCCTGACCCAGCTCATCACATCACCACATCACGCTAGTACTGACAGAAGAGGAAAAGGCCTGAATAGTCAGGTGCAGAAAAGGAGCTAACAGGACCTTTCCTTTCCAGCAGCAGCAGGGATTTATGTAATGGATTAAACTGATTTTGAAAGTACAGCGCTAGTCACAATGGTACACTGATCTTCAGAACGCACCTATTATGCTTCCTGCATTGCGTACACCAACTTTCACTTCACACAAGAAATTCTAAGAGCGGTAATCAAGAAGCTAACGGCGCAAACATTACTAGTAAAATATCTGCATGCCATCCTGTAACACAGATATATTTATAACTCCGTGGCAATAAAAAGATCTTTTGACAACAAGATTGCAGGGAATCCTGCCAACATCTGCACGTGTACAAACAACATCTCTGTTTTGGCTCCCCTCCAACTGGCATCTAACAGCCACATCTA